CATCTTCTTTTCATGTTTTACTAGTTCAATATTTTTAATGAGCACTAACCTGTGTAGTTGATCGAAGTGCAGTAGGGATTTCGGTATGACCTGTTCACTTAGGCACTTATTTAGAAATTCTAACTTGAGAGCAGCTTTGTGAGCTTTGAGTAGTGAGCGTTTTGTAGGAGGTAACAATAGAAGTCAAGAAAGGAAACAAGTGGGAGAATTAGGAGAATAGGTGGCGAGTGGTGTTCATGATGCAAACAATCGAAGACGGGCGATCTTTGCCATACAATGAGAATCTGGCTTGCCTGCGTGAGGCATTAAAAAGGATCAATATAAACCTTGCTTTCAAAAACACGGGGACAGTGAAACAAAGGCTGATTAAAAACACACCCTCCAACAAAGTTGGTGGGGTTTACAAGGCCCATATTTAGAAAGAGATACTTCTGAGTACATCGGTAGAACGTCGGGTACCCCAGAGCAGGGCATTTAAACGGACAAAGAGCACATTGTATTCCTTTCTTTCATTATTTGAAAAGGTCACACAGACTAATGACTATCCATATCTACAGTATCTAACGAGAAACTTGTTTTCTCAAACCACATGATCTGTTATAAACGATTAGAAAAAGCTTATGGCTGGATTTTTATATTTTTTCATTTCATACTTGACATTTGAGAAACCCTCCTACCCTATATGGGTAGAAGGGGGATGATGGTAAGGTGGGGTTGGCACCGACCACTAACCCAGTCTAAGGGTAACAGTGGTCGGTGACACCTATGCTACTCTGAGACCTCTCTCCCTGCTTTGGTTGCTCCCCTGCAACATTGCACAGCTCCTGATGCCGCACTGAGAAGTGTGAAAGTATCTGAGCTAAAGATTTCGCCCCTCCCCCGTGGCTTTTCCTGCATAGTTAAGATCGCCCGTCTGCGATTGTTTCCATATATATATGCAAAACAACCACTGTGAAAGAGTTAGGAAATTTCAAGCGCTTTCGTGACTTCTCACATATAGTTCCTTGATAATGTGAGAAGTCACGAAAGCGCTTGGAATTTCCTAACTCTTTCACAGTGGTTGTTTTGCATATTTGAAATCACCTGTTTACTGGTTTACTGTGAACTTATTGCATATATATATATATATATATATATATATATATATATATATATAATATATATATATATATATATAATATATATATATATATATATATATATATATAATTATATATATATTATATATATATATATAGATATATGCTAAATAACAATAGGGGGAATTGAATTATAGCTCTAGGCCTATCATTTTGCAATCAACACATTATCAGAAGTATAGCAGGAAATCCAGGAAGATTGGTTCATGTGAGTGGCTTTCTCCAGGATAACGAGACTTGGTGCCAAGAAGAGAACCGAGTGCTAGAAAATGCAGACAGCATGTTACAGAATATAAGTATTAAGCTTATAAAAAAAGCCCATCGGCATTCAATATGCAGTAATGACCAAGTGATGACAACATTAATGACCTCTCAATTGTCACAAATATGCCATCAGACTCTCTAGCATTTCATTATAAAAGACTAATATTCTGATCCGATAAGTATCCGGAGCTGTAGGAATTTTTATTTCGTCTTATAAAAGAAAATGTCTAGGGCAAGAAGCAAGAAGGAAACACTGCTATATTTTCAGATGCTGTCCTACCTAATCCATTAGCAAAAACTGGTTTAACCATAAGAGCAGGTGAGAGAAGCATAACCTGAGTACCCTTCAATTTGTCAGTGTAGAACTGCATTTACCACAGTCCAATGAGTTCAGATATGAATCTGACTTAATATTTTGGTACAATTATAAAGGAGTCGAGTTTGCTTGAACTGAAACTATTATCATATAATGAACTTTTATCATGTTTTATAATTACCGATTCTGAAATATTTTTTTTCGGTCAAGAGGACTGGCTTCCGACCTGTTTGCAGTGTTGTTATAAGCCCCTTTGTCGTTGAACATCGCATTTGACTCCTGAGCAGTTTGCATCGAACATCAGTATTGTGTTAACGTGACATTCAGAGGCTTGCCAGTCTGTCCAACATGAGATAAGTTGAAGCCATTACTATCAATCCTTTAAACACACACTGTTGAGTGGAATTTTTTATTACAATGCTTTTAACCATCATTGAATTCTTAGAAACTACTTATATTTTGAATATTTTAAGAGCGTTTGGCAGGACTGATAAATTCTCATTGTACCGGAGAACCAGTACATTCTTAATCTGAGGTCTTATCACAGGTTCAGTCTAATGATAAGTTTTCCTAGCTGCCAGCAACGCTGTTTCTATAAACTCTCTAGCGTACTGTAGTTTTGTGGGAATATCAAATATTTTCTTAATTTTCTCACTGAGAAACTCCAGGTTGTACACTTAGTAAGCCCTCAGAAATAGAGTGAGAAATACACTCTTTTTCACTCTTAATTTATGGTAAGAATAGTAGCGAATGTATATGCAAATATTAATAGCCTTCCTATACAATGTATACATACTTGAATTTTCTATCAACACAGTGTATCAAAACAAATAAGAATGGAAGTTTAGAGCCCACCTATTTCTCTATGGCGAATTTAAACTCGGTAAAAAATTGAACATCAAAATGGTACACAATACCAACAGGTTGGTAGGTAAGACACATAGGCAACAGTTAGGCAACTTTATTCCGAAACGTTTCGCCTACACAGGAGGCTTCTTTAGTCGAATACAGCCTACTTTCTGTATTCGACTGAAGAAGCCTACTGTGTAGGCGAAACGTTTCGAAATAAAGTTGCCTAACTGTTGCCTATGTGTCTTACCTCGGTAAAAAATTGTTCAGATCCATATCATTTGGCCAAAGAAGCAAATTGTCATCTGAATTACTTGTCCTCGCGGGGCAGGGTATCTTTCAACAGCCTAACCTCCAGAAACTCCACATACAGAGCAGACAATGGATTTCCCATTGTCATTCCCTTCCTTTGAGCGTAATATTTCCCTTCAACTCAAACTTGCAATCAACTACGCAATCAGTAATGGTGTTTTAATTTGTCATCCAGACAGGATATCAGATCTGGAACAGAACTCCAGTAAACACCGCCGTAACATAAAAACTTACTATTGTAAAATCAGTGGACATGTTAACATCCTGCAAATTGTCAGTTAGGTGAACATTGTTTTTCCCTGGGCTTGAAAGATGTTGCCAGACACTGGAATTAATTTTTTTACAAACCATTTTGACATATCACGTGTCGCCATCCCAACCAGGCTAATTATAGGTCTAGTTGGAAATCCAAGCTTATGCGTTTTAATCATACTGTACACGTAAGTCGCTGACCCTAGCTGATAACCGTTTAATCAATTCCATATTATTACTCAATAAGGGTTCTAAATTGTTTATTAAACTTACTCTTAATCTGTTGCAAAGGGCTCTTATTAAGGGGCGCATAAGATCTTCTATCTTCTAATAACATGTTCCGTTATAATCTACCTTGTCCTTAATTAACATTGCATTTGATTTGTCTGCTTTCGTAAGATGAGAAATTTAAGAAAATATTTGATATTGTATTGTTAGTCGCTAGGGAAACTTATCATAGGTCTGAACTCCCGGATAACACCGGTATTAAAATTGTGCTGATTCTCCTGTTCGATGAGAATTTATCTGTTCTTCCAAATATCGTAAAAATATTCAACAAATTAGTTTCTTTGAAGAATTCAAAAGGATTTTAAGAGCATTTTGAATTCTGCTCAACACTGTATTGGCAGTGTTTACAGGTTTGATTGTAATGGCCGCAACTTATCTTACATGGGACAGACAGGCAAATCTCTAGCTGTAAGGTTAACACCACATCAATATTCGACAAAAGCTACCCAGCAGTCAACCACACCCGGGCTTGCAACAGCTGTGCAAACTGGTCAGGAGCCAAAGTACTGATTCCTTGCTCCTCTTGGTTGGATAAAAAATTAGAATTGGCAATTATCAAACATTATAAACAATAATTATATAATAAAAGTTTTGAGATGTTCAAATTCGATTCCTTTACAATTAAAATTAAACATGAGCACCAAAAATTAAAACAAGAACACCAAAAATTGCAACATGAACACCGAAAATTGCAACATGAACACCATAAATTACAACTCAAACACATAAAAATTACAACACTAAACTTTAAAAAATTACAAATCGACCACCAAAAATTACAAATCAACCTCCTAGTAATTACAGCAATTATCATACACAATACAACTTAATAATCTAATATTTAAAACCATGAAAATAAAAAAAAATCATGATAAAAAAAATTCTAACATGAACACCAAAAATTCTACCAACACCATAAATTACAAGCATGATCAATATAATTTACAGCATAATCACCATAAATTTCAACATAATCATTAAAAATTACAACATGACCATCAAAAAATCTGAAATGAACACCAAAAAAATTTCATATCAATCACCAACATTTGAGAATCAATCGCCAAAAAATCACAGCATGAACACCAAAAATTATAGCATGAACACCAAAACTTTTCAAACTGAACACCAAAAATTGCATCTTAATCATCAAAAAATCACACCGTAAACAAAAAAATGATAATATGAACACCAATAATTAAAACATGCAAATCAAAAATTACAACATGATATCCATTTTATATTTGACATTTCAGAATATGAATTTTATTACGATAATATTAAAATGCTATTTTGAAATAAAGTTTCAGGGTCATACTAGCTATAATTCTAATTACGACAAGATTTAAGTATCAAACTAATGTAATATAGCCTATGTGATATTAATTAATAAGAAAATTAAACTTATATACATTTGCCTAAAGTAGCACACTTCTTTGAAGTGCACTACTTTAAGCAACTTATTAGGCTTATTAGATAAAAATAATTGAATGTTTTTATTGCATTCCATTATCCTTCCAAACACAATCAGACTAGTAATTATTTTTAATATATGCGCTTATATGCTTTGTATACATTACCTGGGCAAACTTAACGAGGTAGTTAAGAAAGTCAGTGTCCTGTGGATAAGCAAGAGCTGCTCCATCGTAGTTGCAGGTGTCCAAGGCGTCCAGGAAGTTGGAGAATTGATTTTTGGTTATCACCTTGTAGCACCGAGACCTGTAGAGGGTGTAACCAGGCGGACACATCCCTGACATCCGCACACCGTCCAACATATGCAGGAGCAGGAGCAACATATGCAACGCCCACACACACACATACACACACGTGTAAGAACCATCGTTAATAACAATAGAGAATGGAAATATTTTTTTTTCATTTCAATGGAAACTCACCAAACTTAACCACATAAAATGCAGAAGTAGAAAAAAAGTGTTTAAGAGATTTATAATTACATGACTTACATTACATTTCATATCAGGCATGTCTAGGACAGAAATGATATCATTATGTCCTGATTATCAAGTACACTCTGGTATGAGGTCATTATTCCAGGGCAAAAGTTATCAAATAGATAATTTAGTTTTTAGTTTTAGTTTTGGAAATCACTTTAAACGAACATTTTGTAAAGTAAAAGGACACAAGTGCAACTAATGTGACATTTTATTGTGGAAACGTTTCGCTCTCCAGGAGCTTTATCAAGCAGTTCCGCTTGATAAAGCTCCTGGAGAGCGAAATGTTGCCACAATAAAATGTCACATTAGTTGCACTTGTGTCCTTTTGCTTAACATATTGCCGGTAATTATACCAACATTAACACAAACGAACAGTTGTTAAACTGCACTAGAATGTATTTTGACCATCGCTCATTGTCCAAGATAGATTCTACAGGAGATAATTCTTATAGATTTCTAAATATTTGTTTATGTTACAAATAAATGAAAGAACGATGATGACAAATAATACCAGACTGGGTATGCGCACCTGGTCTCATGCAGGCGTAGTACATGTTATTGTAGCAGTTTGTGAGGTTGAGGTGGCCTCCGTTGTTGAGGATGATGCATAAATCCTCACCGTTTCTCTGTCCCTAAAGAAAGCAAAGTTTATAGTCATGCTGCTGGTTGGGTCGCCATTATATCTAACTCTTTGAGAATATATCTATTTATATATTATATATTTGTGTCTTTCTAATTATTTCAATTTATTATTCATCACTGAAATATTTAGTATCTCTTTCTTTGTTTTCCTTTTACCTATGGCTTCTCCATTTTTATTAACTCTATGCACAGTGACTCACTCTCTCCTCTCTCTCTTCTCATCTCTCTCTCTCTCTCTCTCTCTCTCTCTCTCTCTCTCTCTCTCTCTCTCTCTTCTCTCTCTCTCTCTCCTCTCTCTCTCTCTCTCTCAATCTCTCTCTCAATCTCTCTCTCAATCTCTCTCTCTCTCTCTTTTCTCTCTCTCTCTCTCCTCTGTTTTTTTTTTTTTTTTTTTTTTACACGGGGTTTTTGACAAGGTTAAGGATCCCTAGCTTTATTGACAGCTATTTACAGGTTAAGGATTCCTAACTTTATTGGCAAGCTAAGAGCTGTTACCTACATCAGCTCATTTGAAAGCATTTTTATTGTTATGAGACATACAAGTAGGAAACAGGATGAAGTTGGAGCCATCTGTGGGCCAGCATTTCATTTGATCAACTGACTATCTCGTTGACATCATTATGCTGTACGAATGTGTTCCATACTCTAGTCATCCTGGGTATGTATGATCTCAGATGGAGTGATGTTCTGGAGAAGGGTACAGCCAGAGTGAAGTTGCTGCTTTCTGCCCGTCTTGTGGCATAAAAGCTTGTTTCACGCTGTCCTCGAAGTGGATCCAAGTGTGGTATTTTGACAATATTGGCCTTGTACATAACAGTAAGGCCACCCACATCCCTATGTTGAAGGCTCTGCTGAAATGACAGATCTATCCAGGATGGGTCCAGGCGAGAGATGAGACGTCTTGCTCTGTTCTCTACTCTATCAAGCAGTCGCAGATGAGAGGGGGGGGGGCAGGCAAACCAAGAAAGTGGAGCATACTCAAGGTGCGAGTGTACTTGTGCCTCGTACAGGATCTTGCAACCCCTACTGTCAAGCAGATGGGAGATACGGCGAAGTGCTGTAAGCTTCCTGGCTGCCTTGTTTGCAAGATTTACAACATGGTTCTTCATGGTTAGTTTGGAGTCAAATTTCACCCCAAGGATATCAACTTCTTCTCCAGGTGCCAACATCCTCCCATTCATCCTTACTACTGCACCAGCATTACCATCATGGTGCCTAGAGACGATCATCATTTGCGTTTTCTCAGGTGCAAATGTTACTTGCCATCTATTTCCCCAAGCTGATATAGCTCTCAGCTGGTGATTGATGTAGCTTAGAGCAGCTGGCATTTCTTCTCTTGGATAAGTGAATGTCAGTGTACAGTCGTCTGCATATGCATGTGATTCTGGGATGAGGTGAAGAAGGTCGTTGAAGTAGACATTCCATAACAATGGACCCAGCACGCTTCCTTGTGGAACACTTGCCCCAATAGGATGTCTTGCTGATTCCGTTCCATTGAGAACTACACTTAGAGATCTACCATGAAGGTACTCACTGAGGAGACATAGCGTAGAGCCTGCAATTCCCAGTGCTTGAAGTTTTGCTAAGAGGCCCTGGTGCCACACCCGGTCGAAAGCGCCAGCAATGTCCAGTGCTACCACACAGCTGACTTTGGATTCATCTCTCTCTCTCTCTCTCTCTCTCTCTCTCTTTATACAGGGCTTTACAAAGTTAAGTTAATGTTTGAAACGTTATATACAAGCTAAGGGCTGTTACCTACATCAGCTCATTTTAAAGCCATTTAATTGTTATGATAGATGCTAATAGGAAACGGGATGAAGTTGAAGCCATCTGTGTGCATTTGGTCAACTGGCTTTATTAATTTAATGTTATTATGCTGTCCGAACACGTTCCTGACTCGAGTTCGTCAAGGAATAAATGATTACAGATGAAGTGATGTTCTGGAGAAGGGTACAGAGTGTAGTTGCTCCTTTCTGCCCGTCTTGTTGTGTAGAAACTCATTTCTCATGTCCTCACAGTGGAGCCAAGTGTGGTACTTGAGAATATTGGCCTTGTACATAACAGTAAGTTCGCTCACATCCTTCCTGTGTTGAACGCTCTGCTGAAATGAAAAATCTATCCAGGCTTGGTCAAGTCGCAGAAGAAACGGAGGGCAGGCAATAAAAGAAAATGGAACATACTTAAGGTGTGAGCGTACCTGTGTCTTTTACAGAATCTTGCAACCTCTACTGTAGAGCAGGTGCGAGATACCTCGAAGAACTGTATGCTTCCTGGCCATTTTGTTTGCAAAATTTACATCGTGGTTCTTAAAAGTCAGTTTGGAGTCAAATTTCACCCCAAGGATAATTAACTTTGTTCATGGATACCAAAACTCTCCTATTCATTCTTAGTTATGCCCTACCATTACCATCACATTGCCTAGACACCATCATCATTTGCGGTTTCTCAAGAGGAAATGTGACCTGTCATCGTTTTCCCCAGGCTGTTATAGCAGTAAACTGGTGATTGATGTAACTCTCTCCTATTTATATAAATCCTATTTATATTTAAATGCTAAGAACTGTTACCTTCATCAGACTATTTGAAAGCCTTTTTACTGTTATAAGACATACAAATATGGAACAGGATGAAGTTGGAGCCATCTGTGGGACGGCAGTTTCATTTGATCGGCTGATCTTTACCTTTTTGATATCAATATGCTGTATGAAAAAATTTCAGAATCGAGTCATTCTAGAAATAAATGATCTCCGATGTAGTGAGGTTCTGGAGGAGGGTACAGAGTGTAGTTTGTGCTTGCTACCCTTCTTGGTATTTAGAGGGATCACTTCTCGCTGTCCTAATAGAGGAGCCAAGTGTATGGTATAAACATTGGTAATAAATACCGACAAGTTGGTTAAGAAAAACACGTAAGCAAACATTAGGACATATTTATTAGAAAAGGTTTCGGTCCTGGATCCTTGATCACTTCTAACATACAGAGGTGTGAATGATGCATGGTGACCTGGACAATGCCATATTAGGATGAGGACGGGTAGACGATGAGATCGTGTGACCCCTGTGTTGCTGGGCAGGTGTTGCTTTGTCTGGTTGAGTATCATGTATGCTAATGTTTTAGCATTAAATGCCCCGTAGTCTCTCTTTGGAGGACAGGAGCACACTTTAAATCGTCTCTGTTGCTGGCACTTCGATCCTCGTTCAGTAGGACCGCAAGATCTCTGCCTGTTTCGCCTACGTATTTATTGGGACAGAATCCACAGAGGATTGTGTAGATGCCTGCTGTGGAAGTTAGAGGTTTCCTATGTCCTAGTGTTTGCTTACGTGTTTTTCTAAGCCAACTTTGACAGTATTGGCTTTGTACTTAACAGTAAGCCACTCAAATTACTCCGGTGTTGAAGGCTTTGCTGAAATGGCAGATCTATCCAGGCTGGATCAACGAGACAGATGAGTCATCTTGCTCTGTTCTCTATTCTGTCAAAAAGTCGCACATGAGATGGAAGGCAGGCAATTCAAGAAAGTGGAGAATACTCAGGGTGTTAACGTACTTGTGCCTCGTACAGAATCTTGCAACTTTTACTGTCGAGCAGATACGAGATGAGTCGAAGTGCTCTAAGCTTCCTGGACACTTTGTTTGCAAGATGGTCATAGTCATGGTCAGTTTGGAGTCAGATTTCACCCCAAGGATATCAGCTTCGTTCCTTGGTACCAAGACACTCTCATTCATTCTTACTACTGCCTCAGTATTACCATCATGGTACCTCAAGATCATCATTGTGTTCTCTCTCTCTCTCTCTCTCTCTCTCTCTCTCTCTCTCTCTCTCTCTCTCTCTCTCTCTCTCTCTCTCTCTCTCTCTCTCTCTCTCTCTCTCTCTCTCTCTCTCTCTCCTTCTCTCTTTCCCTCTCCTTCTCTCTCTCCCTCTCTCTCTCCCTCTCTCTCTGCTCGTACATGCACCTGTTAGATAACACTCACCGGGCAATACAGGTACTTTAAGTCACAATCAAAGCCGTGAGCCTGAAAGCTGCCAATATCTGGGAAGATGGCTCCGTTTCTCCTGTAAATAACAAACATGTTATCCTCTTTGTCTGTAACATAGTGAATATATATATATATATATTATATATATATATATAATATATATATATATATATATATATATATATATATATATATATATATATATATATATTATATATGCAGTCATCAGTGCTATTATTTTCTGAATTCATTAAATGTTTAATAAAGCTTAAATGAACAGTGTCAAACACTGTGATGCGTGATCCCTATTAGTAGCAGTACTATGGTACCTCACAGTAATCCTTCCAGGACCTTTAGCGAATCCCCAGTCACACCTTCACTCTCGTATGGTGCATCCACAGTCACGCCTGCAGTGACCTATGATTCATTCCCAATCAACCCTCCAGTGACCAACTGTGCATCTTAAGCCACTCCTCCAGTGACCTACAGTGTTTCTCAGTCACTCGTCCAGTGACCCACAGTTCATCCGCAGTCATTCCACCAGTGAACTATATTCGTTATCTCCTCTGTGAGGATCCATTCCATAATCACATTGTGTATATAAATGGTATACAGTACCGACTGATTACCTCGTCTTCTCATCATGTCCTTGAATTTGTATTGATAAAGCCACTGGATGGCGAAACGTCTACAAATGAAGATACCCAGATGTTGCACGTTTCTAATTCTTCATCCTCAAAGTGACCCATACAAGTGACTCGCAACTGTAACCCATCACCAGTGATTTCTGTGACAGATACACTATGGAACTCACTACTGTAGCATATTACCATTGACTACTGTGACATACACTATATACCCACTCCAGAATCCACTACACTACACCCTGTGGCCCACCACACTCTTGTGATTCATTCCTCACTGAGATTCTCCACAGACTGTGATCACTATACATTAATAATTATGACCCACTACACTCTGCAACCCACCGCACACTGTGACTCACCACACACTGTAACTCAAAATACACAATGGAACCCACAACACACTGTAACCCACCATACACTGTAACCCACCAACACACTGTGACCCACCACACATTGTAACTCAAAATACACATTGAAACCCACAACACTCTGTAACCCACCATACACTGTAACCCACCACACACTGTGACCCCACCACGCACTGTAGCCCAACACAAACAGTAATACACCACACACTGTGACCCCACTACACTGTGACCCACCACACACTGTAGCTCACCATACACTGCAACCCACTACACACTGTGACCCCACCACACAATATAACCCACCACACACTGTAACCACCACACACACTGTGAACCACCACACACTGTAACGCCACCACACACTATGACCCACCACACACTGTAACGCCACCACACATTGTGACCCACCACACACTGTAACCCACTACACACTGTGATCCACCACACACTGTGACCCACCATACACTGTGACCCACCACACACTGTTACGGACAACACACTGTAACCGACAACACACTGAAACCCACCACACACACTGTAACCCCACCACACACTGTAACACACCATACACTGTGACCCACCACACATTGTAACCCATCACACACACACTCTAACCCACTACACACTGTGACCCCACCACAAATTGTGACCTAACACATACTATGACCTACCACATACTGTAACCCACTCCACACTGTGACCCCACCGCACATTGTGACCCACCACACACTCTCACCTACCACACACTGTAACCCACCATATACTGTGACTCACCACTCACTGTTAGGCCTCACACACTGTAACCCACCACACACTGACCCACTACACACTGTGTTCTACCACGGATTGTGATCACTACACAATGTGACCCACCATAGACTGTGACCCACAACAGACTGTGAACCATCATAGGCTGTGATCACCCTAAAACGTGACCCACCACAGACTGTGATCACCCTAAAACGTGACCCACCACAGACTGTGATCATTACACAATATGGCTCACCACACACACTATCAATACACAATATGACCCACTACACACTGTGTCCTACCACAGGACTGTGATCACTACACCATGTGACCTACCACAGACTATGACCCATCACCAACTGTGATCACTACACAATGAGACCGATCACACCCTACACTATGACCCACCACACACTGTAACCCAACACACACTGTGACCCACCAAAAAGACCCACCACACACTGTAACCCACCAAACTGTAACTCACCACACACTGTGACCCCACCACACATTGTGACCCAGCACACACTGTTACCCTCCACACACTGTAACCCACCACACACTGTGACCCACCACACGATGTAACCCAGCATTCACTGTGACCCACTACACACTGTGACCACCACAGACTGTGATCACTATACAACGTGACCCACCAAAGATTGTGATCATTACACAATATGACCCACCACACACTCTGTCCTATGTCAGCCTGTGATCACTACACAATGTGACCCACCACTGTCTGTGATCACTACATAATGTGACTCACCACAGATTGTGACCCCAGAATAGACTGTGACCCATCACAGACTGTGAACACTATACAACGTGACCCACCACAGACTGTGATCATTAAACAATATGATCCACCACACACACTATCACTACACACTCTAACCCACCACACACTGTGTCCTACCACAGACTGTGATCACTACACTATGTGACCCACAGACTGTGATCACTACACTATGTGACCCACAGACTGTGATCACTACACAATGTGACCATCACAAACTGTGACACACCCTACACTGTGACACACCACACACTGCGACCCACCCAACACAGTGACCATCAGAGGCTGTCACTACACAATGTGACCAACCACACACTGTGACCCACCACACACTGTGATCCACCAAATTCTGTAACCTACCACACATTGACCATCACACTGATACCCACCACAGACTATGACCCATCACAGACACTGATCAGTACACAATGTGTCCCATCACAGACTGTGACCCACAAACTGTGACCCACTACACACACTGTAACCCATCACACACACTGTGACACCACCACACATTGTGACCCACTTCACACTGACCCAACACACTGTGACCCACCACTCACTATAATCACCACACTGTGACCCAACACACACTGTGACCCACCACACACTGATCCACCACACACTGTGACCCACCACACAATGTGATCCATCACAAACTGTGACCCCTCCACGCTGTGATACACCACACATTCTTTAACTCACCACACACTGTGACCCACCACACACTCCAATTCACCTCACACTGTGACCATCACACACTGTGACCCCACACAAACTGTGACCCACAAGACACTGTGACCCACCACAGACTTTGACCACTACACAATGTGACCCACCACATACTGTGATCATTACACAATATAACACACTACACCTGTGATACACCACACACTGTGTCCTACGCCAGACTGGGATCACTACACTATGTGACCCATCACAGACTGTGACCCACCACACACACTATGATGCGCCAAACTCTGTGACCCACCACACACTAACCAACCCTCTGTTACGCATCACAGAATGTGATCAATCACACACTGACCACTACACAATATGACCTATCAGAGACTGTGACCCACCAAACACTGTCGCCTACCTCGCACTGTGACCACCACGGATTATGATCACTCCAAACTGTGACCCACTGCAGTCTGCCACCAATCACACTGTGACCTACCACAAACTGTTAATTACCGCTGTGACCCACTACACACTATGAAGCACTACAAGCTGTGACTCACCAAGGTCTGATCACTACACATTGTGATTCACTTCACAGTGTGACCCACTATGCACTGTAACCTACACATTGTGACTCACAAACTATGACCCACCACAGACTGTAATCCACTACACACTGTGACCCATTACAAATTATAACCCACTATACTCTGTGACCTACTACAAACTGTGACCCACCAGAAACTTACCTGATGGTGAAGGCTGTCAGGTAATAAATGCTGTTGTTTGCTGTCTGCATGTCTCTTGGGTCAGTGATGAAAGCCAGTGTAGCATTCATCGCAGCGCACCTGATCCACAGAACGTATGACACGTGTTAGAATGTTAGACAGGTGTTTGAATTTGAGAAGAGTGTGAGACAGATGTGATAATGAATGACGAGTATACGACAGGTGTGAGAATGTATGACGAACGTATGACAGGTGAGAGAAAGTATAACATTCATTAACTGAAGAAGCGCAGACAGGATTTCAGTCTAAGGGAAGTGGGGGAAGAGGAAGCTTAAAACAGGATTTCAGTCAGAGGGAAAGCTAAAGTCAGGATTTCAATGACTCAGTTAGCTGAGTCATTGAAGCGATAACAGTGAGTTGCTTAAAAATAGGTTAGGCAAGTACATAAGTGGATTTTGTGGTGGTCTTGCTAGTGGTGAGGAGTTCTAGCTAGTAGTGAGGTGTTCTTTAAGTTCTCAGGTGTTCTTGCTCATGTGAAGACGTACTACGTGAGATCTCTGTAAAACTGAACCAACGATGCCCTTTATTTAGGAGGAAGTAAAAGTGGTCAGGCTATAGAGATACGGCGATTGACTAAGGAAAACAAGAAGATTCATAGTGATCCTCTTATTGTGAATCCTCAGGCCAAGAAAGGATGCTGAACAGTTACCGGGCAGCATGAAACGAAGCTACGGATCAGGAGTCAGGATGGAGAGGAAGAAATGAAGATCCAGGAGACTGCTGTTGAAACTTCCAACCCATTCTCTGTGCTCCCTGACGAATATAAGTCGACTATTGGGAACGACACTACGATCATCATACTTACGATAATGAAAGGTTCTGCGTTTGTGACGTTTTTCTAAATAATGTGCAACATACTCGTATGTATATTCCTCAGATAGAAATTAGGTCAAATAAGAACGATCCTAAATGGACGAATAGGAAACTAAAGCATCTATTAGGAGAATAAAATTAAATTTATAGGCGTATCAAAAGAAGAAACGTTAACCTTATTGACCAATATGTTCATTTTACAAAAACGGGATTAGAAAGGCTAAATGTGACTATGAAATTAATGTAGCTAGAGAATCAAAGACAAATCCATAAGGGTTCTTTTAAGTGTACAGGACAATGATCAGGGAAAAAATATGACCATTAAAAAATAGCTGTGGACAGCTAACTGATAAAGAGCAGGAAATGTGATTTATTTTTAATAGTTATTTCTTGTCGGTTTCTACACAAGAAGACATACATGATGTCTCAGCAAGCAGTAATTATGTAGGCCCTGATGAAAACAAATTTAGTCATATTACAGTCACGAGGGATATGATTATCAAACAATTAAGAGAAAAATAAATAAAAATAAGTCCCCGAGTCCCGATGAATTATATTCAAGGGTACTGTAAGACTGCAAGTAGGAACTTAGTTTCTAAGGAGCCTGTTTATTTCATCAGTTCAACTGGTGTTGTGCTGGAGATGTGAAAGATGGCCAATGTAATTCCTCAATTTAAATCAGAGAACAAGTCAATTCCTTCGAATTACCGTCCAAAAAGCCTGATGTCTGAAGTTGGCAAATTATTGGAATAAGTTATAGCGGTGATTATTAGAATAAGTTATAGCGGTGATTATTAGAATTCACCTAAATGTGCATAATTTAATAACAGAGTTTCAGCACGAAGTCACAAGAGGTCGTTTCTGCTTGACAAATTTACTGACATTCTTAATAAAACATTTGAAGCAGTGGATAACGATAAAGAGTATGTAGTTTGTAAAGTAAAAGGACACAAGTGCAACTAATGTGACATTTTATTGTGGCAACGTTTCGCTCTCCAGGAGCTTTATTAAGCCGTTACAGAATCTCTACATAACGGTGCTGTAAACACCACCTCCAAGGCTTAGGGACTGATTACCTCATCCTTTGTATATAGTTCTTCTGTTTTCTAATTATGTCCAAGAATCTGTATTGATAAAGCCACTGGATGGCGAAACGTCTACAATAAAGTTAACCAGATGTTGCACAAGTGTCCTAAATTTCATCTTGTCGGTATATTGTATACCTGTCTTGCACAACTTGTCAGCACTGCAACATCATGGTATCTTGGTTCAGAGGACATCACAATACCTTCTTCACGGCTTATAACAGCAACCCATCGATTTGGTAGGACCTACTTCCACTGGGGAATCCCGCCTACCAGTGACTATGCCCTCGTCTGCTACACGTCCCTCTTCACTGACGCCTATGTAAGCGCCAGTCTCTTTACCTGTGCTTCAGAAGCTCCAACCTCAGAATGCAACTATTCCACATGTCCAAGAGAGACTTCAAAAGACTCAAGAGTGGCTCCATCACCAGCGAAGTGTAGCCAAACACACAACACACTTCCGCAACACATAATGTGAGCCTCTCGATACCTGACGTCCAAACCAGCTTTTCACCTCAGCCTGAAGCATATCAGCCAGCGAGCACTAATGTGACATTTTATTGTGGCAACGTTTCGCTCTCCAGGAGCTTTATTAAGCCGTTACAGAATCTCTACATAACGGTGCTGTAAACACCACCTCCAAGGCTTAGGGACTGATTACCTCATCCTTTGTATATAGTTCTTCTGTTTTCTAATTATGTCCAAGAATCTGTATTGATAAAGCCACTGGATGGCGAAACGTCTACAATAAAGTTAACCAGATGTTGCACAAGTGTCCTAAATTTCATCTTGTCGGTATTGTATACCTGTCTTGCACAACTTGTCAGGCACTGCAACATCATGGTATCTTGGTTCAGAGGACATCTACAATACCTTCTTCACGGCTTATACAGCTAACCCATCGATTTGGGTAGGACCTACTTCCACTGGGGAATCCCGCCTACCAGTGACTATGCCCTCGTCTGCTACACGTCCCTCTTCACTGACGCCTATGTAAGCGCCAGTCTCTTTACCTGTGCTTCAGAAGCTCCAACCTCAGAATGCAACTATTCCACATGTCCAAGAGAGACTTCAAAAGACTCAAGAGTGGCTCCATCACCAGCGAAGTGTAGCCAAACACACAACACACTTCCGCAACACATAATGTGAGCCTCTCGATACCTGACGTCCAAACCAGCTTTTCACCTCAGCCTGAAGCATATCAGCCAGCGAGCACTGTCTGCAGTCTGCTCTCTCCTCTATGTCCTCAACATGCCCTCTCTACACTGCCTCGCAGTGCTACGCAGCTGGGTTTAGCCCTGGCTCTTTCATCTACAACTCAAGACCTTCCTCTCACGACTATTCATCGTGTGTCCACACTTCCCCACTCACCCACCGGAGTCCCAACAGAAGAACCTGCTATGTGTGTTCTCAATGTCTGTCCCACGATCGACTTAGCTGCTGGGTTAAGCCCTGGCTCTATTTCTACAACTAAGAACACTCCTCTCCAGCACTATTCTTCGTTTGTCCCGTCTTCCCCGCTCATCCCATTTGGGATCTTACCTGAACTTTCGTTCGTTCGTTCGTACTGTGCTTCAGAATCTCTACAACCACGGTGCTGTAAACACCACCTCCAAGGCTGAGGGACTGATTACCTCATCTTTTGTATATAGTTCTTCTGTTTTCTAATTATGTCCAAGAATCTGTATTGATAAAGCCACTGGATGGCGAAACGTCTACAATAAAGATAACCAGATGTTGCACAAGTGTCTTAAATTTCATTAATTAAGCCGTTACAAACAATACTTGGACACAGAGGGTATATATAGGCTTAGAGTGAGGTGTAATACTAGTGGTAGTAGTAGTAGTAGCAATATAAGTAGTAGTAGTAGCAATATAAGTAGTAGTAGTAGCAATATAAGTAGTAGTAGTATTAATACAATGTTATAGAACAGTCAACTTGCACATGAGTGAAAGGTTATAAAAGCTATTATCTGGATAACATAAAAATAAATTAGACAAATATTTCTGTCGGTGGTTGGATCTGGGAAGGTCTGATTCAGGGTTCCTCCTCTGTTGTGTTCTTGTGTAGCAGGGACTATGTGATGGCAGGATTTACTGTATTCAAGAGGATTTTTGCTAATACTTCAGAGATGATGATGCTGCCTATATTTTGCTTATATTAGAAACAGCGATTAATGATAATTCAAGGTATTTTCGTCTGCGAAAATTAGGCTCTCTGATTACTGGTCGGATGTCGTTTAATTTCATGAGGTAATTGGCGGAATTTCTGTTTAATACGCAGGCGTTGTTTAAGTTTTCATTCCTGCATGCGTTAAAGTGTTCACCGAGGCGTGTTTCGAGGTTCCTAGCTGTTTCACCTACATATATCTTGTTACAGCCTACACAAAGTATGGTGTAAACTCCTGCATCGACTGGTTCATGGTGGTTCGATTTTGTCCTGTTAGATCCCTTATGGAAGTGCTGGATGCGATGGCGACTCTAGTGTTAGTTTGATTATAACTAGGATTATAACTTTGTTAGGAATGGTATTGGTGCGTGGAGAATTATGATCTGAAGAGCTCTTTCATTGCACGAACGTTTCCTTTACCCCAAAACTGCCACTGGTCGCCTTGCATCCGATTTCCCAAAAGGGATCTAACCAGGACAAAATGAACCACATAAAGTCAAAGAAAGGAGTTTACCCCCTACTTGGGGAGGCTTGTGACAAGATATTGTGGTGAAACAGCTAGGAAACAGCTGGGTAAAAAGTGGGAAAAGAAACGTCCCGTAAGTCCCTCTTCTATGTGGGGTTTTTTGTGTAAAATTTCCCTTTCCCTTTCTACTTAAATTATGTAACCTATTTTTCTGGCGTATTTTTTTGTTTCTATGCTTTAAATCTCGCTTTATGTCATAATAATCATTTGAAAAGGGTATAAGTGTTATTTTTGTATTTAGGTAAGAATAAATCTTTTTTTGGGCTTTTTTTCTCTTCCCCCGCACACGTAATTTTATTGCTCGCGCCCAGCACTTTTTCCCCAGAAGGTACTAAAGGTTTCCGAACTTTTATTTCCTCCACCTACAATGATGTCAAATCTAAAAAAATCAGGGTTTCAGCCCCCATGACGTAGGCCCCCGCACCTAATTTTATAAAGAATAAAATTTCCCTTTAAACATTATAAA